AATAATTTCTTATCTTCTACATCATAAAATTACAAAAATAAATATTTATTAGTATTGAGGCTAAGACGAATTCTTGTCAGAAAACTAAAAGACTTGTTTGAAAACCACGCTCAACTAAGTGTCATTACTTGTTAATTTACCAAAATTAAAGTATGTTCAAAAGACATGTTTAAATCTATTAAAGTTCAGTTAGTTTTATACATAAGAGATAAATTATCTTGATACTTACTTTATATATCCTGTTTGCATCAGAAAAATAAAAAATATTCATAATATTTATTATAATCGAATGTTCTTATTACAAATAATTAGTTTCTTGCTTTATTTTATATTATGTATTAATTAAATAATCTCAAGTTAAAAATTATGGTTACATAACATAACAATTAAAAGGAGTAAGCAGAAAATTGGAAAATAAACCTTGTAGGGTTGGAAAAGTTATTCCTGATCCCAGGACCTGCATGTCCTATTAAATGGACTTATATACTAAGTCCGTATATAATAACTTCAAGGATTTAGGTCCGATCAGGTCCCAAGGACTTAGGTCTGACCAAGTCCGGTCATATCTAAAAACGTGATCACTTAATTCGAAAAAAGTAATTATTATTAATTTTATTTAGTCTATATTTATTCTGAATTCTGAAACGGATTCTCATTAATTCTAAAAATCCCAAATTAATAATGAAAATAATCATGAAGTTATACACATCTTATCTTTTTTTGTTATAAATTTTTACAGCACTATAATATAATTGACAATGTTAAAAATTAATCCTGTAAATAAAATTACAAATTTGTGTTGTTGGAGATAAGACTATAGAGAGAGAAGGTAAGTTAATTTCTTTTTTTTTTAAAAAAAAAAAATTAACTAACGAAAACTTTACCTTTTTATAGCTTTATCAAATTTTTAACCAAGTAAGTCTACAGTATAATGAAAGAATTTCATTTTTTTATAAAAAAAAAACAGATCAATCAATTGACAAAAAATATTTATTTACCTTTTGTAGTTACCGGAATCTTTTATTAAATTTTTTAGATTGAAACACTTTCAGTGTAGAAATGCATCTTTCAATCGACTATAGGAGATGGCTCCGAAAATAGAATAATTGTTTAATTATAAATTGGGACAACAGCTAACTTGTGAGCACCGATATGTCTCAAATTCTAATTTGCCCAATTTTATAATGGGCATTATGAAATTTCAAGTTGATTACATTTGCAAATCCTTAAATTGGAGCACAACTTAATATTCATATTTGGTATTCTTGCTTTTCATCGCAGTATATGAGCCATTCGTGATATTGACAACGGGCTAAATCACATGACGAGAGACACTTAGTACATTTGGTAAATTTAGAAAAGCAAAAATATATCGTTAAATTTAGAGCATTAGTTCGAGAGCATAATGGTTTAGTTTTAATTTATACCGAATCTTATCGAGTTTCTTTTGCAAAGACGATATGCTCCGATAGTTTTTATATGAATTTTGCTGTAAAGAAATTTTGAAACGGCCAAGTTTATCTGTCAAGCGAAGAATTTCATAATTGAGATATTTAGTAAAACATGCATTTCTTATTTTATTCAAGAAGAAATATTTAACAAAGTGCAGGATGCCACGTTATTCTACTTGTTTTCTCGATAACCAAGTGTGTAAAGTTGTCGATATGGATTTGATCAGCTTGACAGTATTGAAGGTCCAGCTGATCTAACCACGTTTCAAAAAGATGTCATCACAACCAATTCCAATATTAGCATAGATATGATTCACAAATCTTTCTGAATAACATTTTTTTAACGGAGATTGCATATTTGATATAAATTATATGAAATTTTCTGGGACTGATTTTCAGTTTGTATTTGTATTCATTGAGCAAGTTGTTATTTTTCTTTCATATTGTACATTATGTAATCCGTTCTTTATGGCCAAGTTTCAACTTGTCAGGATAAACTCAGTTTATATAGCACGAAAATAACTATTAAAATTAATAAATGGTGAATTGATGATATTATTTAACTAAAGAAAATTATATATATTTTTTTGTTTAAATTATTTGTAATATTAAAGATATTTATTATTGCAATCTTTAAATTTTCAAATATTCTCTTTCGGAAGATTGTCATTTTCTATCAACACCTCTTTAAATGACTGACCATGTTGGCTTGGTATCTGTAAACTTAAACGATAAACTTTTAATTCAATCCGTCGTATTAAATATCACAATCACGACTATATGAAGACACGACAAAAGGCAATAGTAAATGAATTTAAAGATTCCTTTATTGAACTCTTGGTACCTCAACTTGAGTTACCTTTCAACTTAATTGAAAATACAAGATATTTATATAAAATGAAATAATATAAAATCAACTATAACAAATATAATAAAAAGAATAAATAATATAACTATGATAAATATAATATATATAATAAATAAGATATAATTAATAAAGATAATAACTATAATTCATTTATCCAATTTGTCCACTTGATCAACGTTGACAACTTTAGCAACTTTGTCAACTATGTCCATAGATCACATGACTTATTTTTAGCGCAGACACGGATCACGGCTTCAACCATAAATTTTATTATTTGCAACCGTAAAAATCCGGGTTCGTAAAGTTTTAGCGAAATAATTATATGTATTCATGGTATGAAAATTTGAAATAAATTACAATTTGAAGGGTTGTGTTAAATAGTTAGCTTACTTGATATATAAAAAGTAAATACTATTTGATTATATATAAAATTCTCCTTATCATTATTACATAACTTTAGGTGTAGTCCAAATATGATAAATTCCTAAGCAAAAACTTGAAATTAATTACTACTAATGTTAAACCGCATTATATATCTTTGTAGACACTTCAATAATTGACGTCTATCATTATATAAATCTATATTAGTTCATATTTTAAATTGCAATTAAATATCGATATATCATATTACCTCTTAATTGTAATGAGCTAGAAATTTCTAAATGAGAATCTTGAAATTCTGTTAAAATGCATTGAAATTAATATTTCATTATCGAATTAAAAAAAGTTAAATATATATTACCTTCATTATTCTCATCCTTTTCAAGATATGAGGTGATAAGAGACGAATTAATAGGTTTTGTCAAATTTTTAAATGTAAATGCTCTACTTATATATATAGCATCAGGATTCGTTTTACGTGAAATTGAAATATTTGGTATTTCTTTATCTGCCTCTTCAAATGCTTCCTTTATTTTTTTTCCATAATATCCATATTTATTAGTATCATTAAACACATTATATCTAATAGATTTATCCCAAAAATTCAATATTTCTTTTAATTCATCGGCTTTTGGTCTTTGATTTGGATTTGCATCCATACATCTATAAGCCAATTTCTTATAAAATTCTGGAGTTCCATTTCCAAATTCTGGGCGAAGTCCATTACAAACATCTAAGGATAATTTATAATCATGCTTCCTATTATAAAATGGAGGGTTCCCAGATGACAATTCAGCCATAATTACACCAAAACTATAAATATCAGAAGCTAAAGTATATAATTCTCCATTCAAGACTTCAGGTGCGATATACGGTAATACTCCATATATTTTGTCATCGGATTTTTGCTTATTTGCTGGTCCTGATAATCCAAAATCAGAAATATAAGAAAATAGTTCAACTTGTAAGATATTTCCACTATGAAAATCCTCATGACAATATCCTAAACTATGTAAATTATAAAGATCAACAACTACATCATATAATTTCCAAATTTTACCCTCCCAAAATATTCTGTTAAAATTATCTGAAAGATAACTTCTCAAACTTCCATAAGTTGCAAATGTTATGATCATAATAACATCTTTGGTTTCTGGATCCTTAGTTATCCCATAAAATTTTAATGCGGAAGGATATCTTTTATAAAAATCCCAATGTGCTTTAAGCTAGTTATTTTTAATGAAAATTTAAGCAAATTAGAAATATTATTATTTAATAATATAAAAAAAGTAAATAAAAAAAATACCTCACTAAAATATTTGGCTGACATGTCTCGTGATCCATTTAACCTTTTCAAAGCAACTTTCTTCGGAATAGGATCCGATCTTTTCCAACTTCCATCATCTTGCTTTTTAAATTCCGAATTGCCATCGACCCATATTGCGGAATACACTTTGGCAAATCCTCCTTCTCCAATTTCTTTTATATCTGTGAATCTATCAAAGGGCACCCATTCGGCAAATGGTTTATCGCAATAAGAATAATTCTTATCTGAGACATTTAATTTATCGATTTGGGTTTCATTTTCATGGCTATTTGAATCCATTTTTTTTTTTAAAAAAAAAAAAAAAAAAAATTCGGATAAATTTGTAAAATTGATTATGTCATAAGGATATAAAAGGAATTATCATGACGAAAATGACGAAATTAGATCAACGGATTCTCCCGAATATTACAGTGGTACAAATCATATGATCGTAAATATTAATTTTGGGTATATTAATCGCTTAATAATTTTTATTATTTAGCTAAAAAAAAAAAAAAATGTTTACTTATAAAAAGCTTAGTATATTTGCATTTGTAAGAAAATAAGAGTAACACATTCTTGGACAAATAAATTCATCGCAGTAAGTTTTCATGTAACCACATAAATTTTTCTATTATATATTTTAATCGCAATAATTTTTAATTGGCAAATTTTTTTCAATTAATTTTTTAAAAAATTGTATTTTTATTTAAATTCTTTTTTAATAATTGCTTTTAAATTAAATTAATTGAATTTTTAATTGTAAGAGAGAGAGAGAGATAATATTTTTTTTAATTTATTTTTTTTTAAAATTGGATTTTTTTTAAATGGAATTTTTATTGAAACGAATCCATAGGGATCGGGCTGCGCCATTCACGTGGTCTCGAATCCAGTGACCCGGAGATTTTATTTATTTTCTGGGTAAATTAAATAATTTTTATTCTGATCTTTCTGTCTCTCTTTTTTTTCTTATTTTTATCTAACTTTTTTCAAAATGTCTACTGTTGAAATTATCGGTGCGCGTAAAACACTTTGGTGCATTACTAGAAACAATAAATCTATTTTCAAAGCTACCGCAGGAGTAGACAATGATATTTACGATCTTAAAGAAATTATTGCAGAAAAAATTCCTAACGTAAAAGCTATATGGGTTGATTGCTAGGAAAATCAGGTTCCGGGAATTTTTTAACAAAATTGAGATTTTTATTGCATTTTAGTTTTTGATGTTATAAGTGAAAAATTTCTCGGAACTTGATTTTCCTAGAAACCCTCCCATATGTCTTGTTGGAGAACGAATCTCGAAAATAATAGAAATATATCTCTTGATGAAAGTTTGGACGATAGAATAGAAAATGAAGCAGAAAAGGTTGGAAATGTTTTTTACCAATGACGCAGGAAGCAATATTCGAATTATAGTTGGATTATCAGTTAACACCGGTAAGCTTTGCACCATATCGATTGGTCATAACGAGTAACATGTCTTATCAAGTAACTAACCGCCTTTTTGGTCCCCCTAACCCAAATTAGATGAACATCAAGGTAAGCCTTTGCGTCATAATGATTGGTCAACACGAACGTGACGCTAACCTTTATTGTTTTTGCGCTTTTTCTCGTTTCTGCAGGGCAACGGCCACTCTCATCGGTCCTTTATTATTTATAACATATTATTTTAAATTTTATAAATACTAAATAAATTATTTTATTTCTTAAATACTACAAAATTAGAGTTGGATCGACCCGGTTTTCATCCATAAGTCAGTCCTTGGATCTGTCATAATATTTTACTATAACGGTAATTTCCGAAATGGAAATATCGGAAATGGAAAAATAACGAGATTAAGAAGGCGCAGG